AACTGATCTTTCAATCCCAATTCAACAAACCAAATATAAAATAAAAGCCAAGATCCATTGAAGTCGGGCAATACTAGATTTCTTTCAAGAATGACATAGAAATCCCTTACTTCATCCCAAATGACTTAGTGACTGAATTGGTACAATGTATGACTTAAAACAATCAAGAAACAATCCTAAAAGCGTAAAAAAAAAAAAATCCGAAAAACCCATCAAGATTGGGATCCAAAATTCATTTCTTACAGTTAATAAAACAATGTTGTAAAAGAATTAGAAGAAGAAAACAATATATGGGTAGTCAAAAGAAATCACTTACCAGATAAAGAAACTCCAATTTCAAGACGCGTATCTCCAATGTGAAGAAAATATAAGCAAAAGTAAAAATGATGGTAATGTAGATGAGTGAAAGCGAAGTGTTATAAATGCTTGCACAGTGAAAAAAGAAACCGTGGTTCGCCATCTCATCTACAGAGAACGCTCTATCCATCTCTCTGGGTTTTCTTCTCTTGTAGAAGATGTTAAGGGCAATCCGTTGGGATCAATGTCCGGCGGTCTTGGTGGCCAGATGGTGGCAGAAAACGGAAAATATAAGTGGAAGCAAAAGGTAGAAAGAAACCGTGCGGCGAGGGGAACGAGGGAGGCGTAAATGAGTTTAAGATTAGGGTTATTTTTGGTTCCCATATATAATTTAATTTGGAATGTAATGGATTCATTTAAATGGGTCAGAATATTATTTGCAACGTTTATCCAACGTTGTTAAAGGTGACTCTCACCTTTAGCAACGTTTATCAAACGTTGCAAAAGGTAAGACCTTCCGCAACATTCAATAAACATTGCTAAAGGTGTTTACCGCAATATTTTTCTAAAAAATGTTGTCAAAACTCATTTATATTAACCAATGACAACATTCACTTACTAAAATGTTGTCAAAATACCATTTTTGGCAACATTTGTTGACAAATGTTATCTTTTTAATGTTGCAAATGACTATTTTTGTTGCAGTGTATGGAAATTCATTTCTTGACTCTTTGGTTATTGTAAAATGAGGCCAAAAGATTGATTTTTCGTTGAGTTACTGCTTAGCAGTTGACTTTATTTGCATGGGTAAGATTAGACTTTGTAGCATTAGTTCTGTTAAGATTGGATTAATAGATGAAGAGTTGATTGATATATCCATATTAAACTGAGGAATTCAATTCTCCAGCTGGATTCAGGAAAACCCTAGAATACAGAGTGGAAAGTACCCATTGGGTAGTTGTATTTGGCTAAGTTGGTGGAGGTAGTTTATGTTAGTCTCCATACAATTTGAGAAACCAGCAAAAAAAAATTGCCCTTTTTGTTTTTAGATCGAATTTTTTTAATCCGTTTAGTAAATTATTCGTTTGGAGAAGCAGTAAATATTTCGTGCGTTATCAGCATAAAAAGGAAAAACCAACTAATCTTTTTGTTTCCCCGTCTTTCCTTTATCCTCACTCAGTTTTAACTAATTCAAGGGTCAGAAGATGTGGTGTGTCAGCCTGTGCACCTGCTTAGCTTTTCGTGTGTATTGGGAGTGCTTTTAAGATGAGTATTTAGGAAGAGTCAGTATTTTATATGCTTTTAATGTAACTTCCTTTTACATGAGCACTTTGTGTATCTGTAGCCAGAAGAATTCATTAGTTCTGGTTCATTGCTACAGTGATAACGAACTATGCTGTATTATCAGTATGTTTGAGGCTGACTTCATGAATCATTTTTAGATACTTTGTTTAATCCATTGTATAATTGTCGAAAGATCTGATTATATCAAATCGTTTGCAACTGTTAGTTTTGGTTTACCTATTCTTGTAAACTGTTCAATTAGGACAAAGGTGTGCTTGTGAATGAGAGCTTCTATACACTCAATGAACGAATGACCAAAATTATTCCCTACATTTATCCTTAGTTGGTGCCACATTAACTTGTTAATGCATATTTTCATTTTTATTTTATCCATTATAGTATGGATAGAACCATTTTTATTTTTATTTTATCCTTGGTGCCACATTTATTTTTATTTTATCCATTTTTATATAAAGAATCACTCTGTGCTCTTTGATCTTCACCTCTGTACAAACCCACTATCTTTCTTTACATTGTTACTAAGTTGAACAAACAAACATGCAGCAGTTGACCGAGTCTAGGAGTGCTTTTATCCTCATCTCAGCCTAAACCCACTATAAGTTTCAGTATGTTAGGTGCCTGGAATTACAATGCATAAGAAAAATGCAGCGTCTTTTGCCTAGAAACTACTTAGAGTACTTGAATGCTCACTCGTGAATGATTTCAGCTTTCAAAACAATGTAAAATATAGATAACTTGATGTGTGCTAGGGCGGTAAGCAAAAATCGAAAAATCGGAAAATCGAACCAAAATCGTATTTTAGAAATCGTCGGTTTTGTGCTAAATGGACCCGTCAACAAAATGATTTTGAACCAAACCAAACCGTTTTTGTTTCGGTTTAAGAATTTTAATTGCAGTTTAAAACCAAACCGGACCGACGAAAAAATATATAAAAATAAAAAAATGAAAATTTCTGAAAATCCAAATATGTAAAACTCAATAGTTTTGTCATGTGTGAGTATTTTTGTCAATTTCTAACTTTCTATTACATATATATTATTATTATCCAATAATCCTAACTTATATCTAATAATCTCAAGACTAACATAATATATCAAAAGTCATTTTCCTCTTCAGAATTGAGATGAACTTTAGCCGACACCCGACACAGTCTTGAGCCACCAGCACCACACGAAATCGGAGACAAATAGATCCTATCTTCGGTGATAATATTTGCTACAAATAAAGTTTCATATCAATATTTTTTTTGAGCAAACTGAGGTAAGAAATCTGAAATTATGTGGGTTTTGCATTTCTCTCAACTATTGGATTATTGTGAAATAAATTTATTCACTTTGATGGAAATGGTTTATCTACTATGTACATGATTATATTCTATTTGTGTAGACTTACTCCTGTTTTGTGACTGAATTATGTATGATAAAATGTCAATAGAAGCTAAAAAGTGTTTATGTACAAATTGATATGTAGATGAATTGTTTAATAAGTTAAAAGAAAACAACAATGACTCCAATGGCAACTATACTTGCATCAATTTAATTGTTGTGTTTTATTGTATGTTTAGATATTTTGTTAAACTGTTTCTTCAAATATTTTGAATTAATAAGGATGATATCTATTCAATTAGCCTATTAAAGTCTTGGATTTTGATCCAGTAGGCGTAAAGTTTATCATTTAAAGTGTTGCCTTATTGATGTCTTAGTAACTGTATTATGGAATTATATGCTTTCAAATAAATATTTAGTTTATAGGTTTTTTGGCCTTATATTTAGTTTATTAGACTTGTATGATAACGTTATCGTAACGTCTTAGCCTAAAAATGGTGAACAAAAAACTATTATTATGATTTCACTTGGATTTAATTAGTATTTAAATTTATATTAGATATATTTAATTGTTTTAGATTGATTGCTAGTAATATATAAATATTATATTAAATTCAATGAATTAATGACATAAAAGTAGACAGGCAAAAAAATATAGACGAAACTGACCGTTTAAAACCAGACCAAACCGTTAGGCTTAGGTTTGAGTTTTTTTCAAACCGTTCAAAATGGTTTGATTTAGGTATGAGTTTTCTCAAACCGATTTAAACGATTTGGTTTAAAAATATGTCAAAAACCGGTAAAACCAAACCACTTACACCCCTTATTGTGTGCCCTAGAAGGTTTATTGGCACATGTTCATTGTTAAATTATGCCTCCGCAATGTACTAGTTTCCTTGTATATTACATAGTTCATAGTTGCATTCAAAATAAAGATTGATTATTTAATCTACAATTTCATTTATCAGAGAAGATTATACAATACAGTCGGTTATACACAATTGGATTTTGATTTTATTATTTTCTTGTTAATCAAATAATACGTAATAACTCCTGGGTAGAGATATTCATTGTAATCAAAAAATTAGCTCTGTGGATTGAATTCAAGAAGATTGTAATCACACCTTGAGATCTACAGAGCTAACATGGAAATCGCCAAGGCCATCTAGAAGGCTGATTTGGGAGGGGGGAGTGGACAAAGTATGGAGAGTCACCTCACATGATTGACCACAGCAAAGAATATTTCCCTAACCAGTCCTTCCTGAAGTCCCCAAAAGAAGTTCAGAAATAAAGGTACATCTCAGGATCCCAGATGCTTGGCATCAAAAAAAGATAGTGGGAGTTCGCAACTCTCCCACTGTAATAAGCTACAAACTCTACACCCATTTTATAAATACAATGCCATCACCATGCAAAAAGTAATTCAGAATTCTATCAAAATTTGTCAAATTTCATCCTCCATAGTAGTAAACAACGAACTTAAGCATTGGAATGTCTTCACGCTCCATATTTTCAATAGCCCAGGTTTTGTAGATTCTAGTGAAGTTTGGGTTAAACCAATTGACACGAGGGGAAAAGCAATAGACAAGCTGAGCTTTGCAGACATCAAGGGCAGGGCTAAAAAGCAGTCTGTAAGGGAAATGCCAGATATAAGATAGGTTACCTTTACATTAACCCCCCTTATATCTTCTCAACTTCCCTGTCGATTGTACAGTTCCATGTATGTAATATGCAGTTTCTTAGCTGAATGATCAACATGAAACTGATGAAAGCACCTGTTACTAGCTAGTAATAAAGATTGAAATGATTCTTCACCACCCCCCAAGCGAAAACAAAATCGAAAAAGGAAGCTGAGGGCCTATACAAGGAAAACAGGAAAATGCACATCCATAGCCAGACAAATTTATACAGAGGTAAATTCTACTGGAAAATGCAGTTAAGCAACAATCTTTTACCATAGATATTTAATACCCATTAAAAGCAAGCAATGTCCATAAACCCATAACTCATATCATCAAAATTTCAGCTTAACCAAGTAGTAACATTTAGTAGGCAACAATGATAACAAATATACTAATCAAAGAGAGAGAATCCCATGTCATCGTCACTTTCTTCTTTCTCTTCCTTCTTCTCCTCAGCAGCAGGTGCCTCAGCTGCTGCACCAGCAGCAGGAGCAGCAGCAGCTGCAGCTCCACCTCCTCCAATGAATGCACCACCACCAACAGCACCACCAATAATCACCTGTGCCATTGCAACAGATTCAATCATATATTGCAACACAAGCATTCCTAGGAGGAACCTAACAAAAGAGATCTAGAAAATTCGACTATTACACGAGATTTTCACACTAGGAAATAACGAGTGTTCGGGGTTTAATGACAAAACTGAACACACGTTGAACACGGAAAAGAACACATAGTAAACAACTATAATTCCTGCAATAGAAAGGTACAACTTCCCAAGGCAAATGCACACACGTCAATGTTGCACGCTTCGCAACATAGCATTATACCTTGCCACACTTGACCAAAACACAACATAAAGGTAATGGCGCATATTAATTAGATCTACACTCATCGAATAATTAATTCACGAATAAAGAGAAGAAATATGTATATATGTGTATATATATATTTCCAAAAAAATGAAAAACGAAAAATTAAAAATTCAATATACAAAGAAACCTGGAAAACGGCGGAGGAAGGGGTAACGTAAGAGAAAGAGGACTGGACGGCACCGGAGGAGTCAGCGGAGAGGGCGGCTTGGACTAGCTTGCGCTGCAGCTCGTACGTGGAGCCAGCGGACGACTCCAGTTCGCCGTTCAGCTGCTTAGCCGTCCACTCGTCATCTGAACTCCTGCACACGAACGTTTGACTAACTTGTCCTCGAAATTTTTCCGTAATGACGACTTTATTTGTTACATTTTTTTCATTTTTCTATTTTTCCTACCCTTTGTCCAAGTAGCAATTATTTTTTCAACCTTTTTTTGGTTACAAAACCCATCCCCGACCTTAGTCAATTAGAAGGTTATGAATATTTTTACGATGAAAAAAGTTGTAAACATAATTTCCGCTCTATTCAAGAAACATTATAGATAGCCAAAGTAGATAACAATTATTTGTTCAAAAAACATTATAAACAGTGGGGCTCGATTCATTTAAATTCGTTGCTCTTCCTTTCTTCTTTTCTGATGGATTGGGTTGGGACCCTCTAGCTTTCTGCTCCGCAATAAAGGCGTAGGGTTTTGGGGGGGGGGGGGGGGGGGGGGG